TTACTTTCCTTTTAGTGAGCTCCAAATTTGCTCCATGGGCCGCCAACACAGTGCTCTGGTACAAACCCGAGAAATCTGTGAGCAAACTCTTCAGATTAGAGCGAGCTTGGTTCACTTTTTTGGGGGGGAACGACAGCTTTCATTGGAATGATTTCTAGCTATAAATGATTCAAAAGCCATTATAATGCTCTGGAACAGATCTGGGACGTCGTGGACTGAGTCCAATATCTCCTGAGTAATGTCTAATTCCGACCAACCCCCAATGTCGTTCGAATTTTAGGCAATTTTTAGCACAAAAACAGCGTAAACCCCAAAAACCCTACCAAACTGCTGTAGGTAGTTGGCAAAATGACCGCCAAACGATCCCGCTCAGTTTTTCATTTTTTCCGGCCTCGGACGAACAAGATTTTGGTTTAAAAAATTTCAGCATGTACCAGGCGACCAGAATCCAGCAGTAGGGTGATTAACAAATGTGACACAGGGTGACTCGTTCAAATACTGGGTGACACACATGCATTTGGGTGAAACAGGGTGATTCCTAAGAAACAAAGTTGTGTTTCAGAAAAGTAGAGCATATTTTTAGGCGCTTACTTTTGGACGATGCACTGATATAACGTATACGCACACTCATCATGCTTTGTTAGCTACCATGCGATATTTTAACCTTTTCAAAGTAAAAAACCAAACAATTTAAATTGATTTGTTTTAAATTATTTATTTTTATTTTCAAAGAATACAAAATATATGCATATTTGAAATTAATAGTCATTATTTTGGAAATAAATTGAAAGCATTTGCTGTTCAAAAAAGTAAAAAGGCATGGATTATAATACAAATTATTATATAGATTGTTTTAAATGTTATAGCACCATTATTCATTTAATGATTTACAGGACGAGAGAGACGCCGTGTTATATCCAATCTTTGCTTCAAAAAGATTCCAAATTCCACTTCACATTCCCAATTGTTGTGTAGTTAAATACTGCAAGGAAAAAGAGAACAAAATTGGAATTATTTGTATGACATAGCAACACAATGTACAGGCAAATGAGTTTAAATAATTTAGTAGCAAACTAAGAAATAACAGCTACATAGCACTCCAAAGTCCGCCATGCCATTGTTGAAAACAAAACCGTGTGCCATCATATCCAAACAATTACTTTACCAAAAAATTGTATTTAAATTTTTTCCATATCAGCTATTCAATCTTCTTTTTGAGTTCTTTTGTTGCAAAATTGTTGTTCCTTCTTTTTTTTGCAATACCCTTCTCATACTCAACGTTACCGTTACCTTATCTCTGTAAAATATATATAAAGCAAGTGTTTTACCTTATCCTGGTAGGTATTAGTTTACACAAACAACAACTCAAGTGTATTGTAATATTTTTGTTTTCAAGAGACGGAAGTCTATCTCCTGCCCCGCATGCATGACTGTCCTCTTACACAAGACGTGAAATCTAAATGTAAAATAACGCTAAAAGGGGGACCCCTCCCGATCAGGGCAAGAAAAAGTTTCGTTTTTTTCTGCGACCTTAAAATATACACAACATACTCTGCTGCCATACAATCGCATATCGGAAAAATTTATTATTATTAGTGTTGGCATTGTTGTTGTTGCTATTTTGTGTTGTAATGTAAGAACAACCATCATTCTCGTCTTCGCTGGCATTGCTGGCTGGCGTCGTTATCACCTTGGTCCTAAGTCGTTGTCGTCGTAAAGTATGTAGAACAATTTTCAATTATCAAGTGCAAGGTAACTGTTGTAAAAAATACGTTGTCCTTGTTCGTAGGAAAAGGAATTCATTGTTTGTTTATGAGAGTGAAGCTATCTCTGTGTGTGTGTACTGGCGAGAGCGTGGAACTTAAAATAAAATATTGCTATGGATAAGTTTATGAATATGCATGTACATCATGTGTGTGTCTATGTGTGTGTGAGTTTCGCAAGCAAGCAAGTTGATTCCTTGCAATATTTTAATTTTAAGTGCCGGAGAATATATGGGAAATTGTAGCTAAACTTAAATGATATATTCCATGGTTGCCTATATTAAAGACACACATATGTACATATAAATGTCATGATCAAGGATAATTTGTATTGATAGCAGCAACTCAATGAAAAATATATTCACATAGACACCAACAAACACATTCCAATTGACAGGCAACAGACTAAGGACATCTTATACATTTATCCTCCGAACACTTAAACAATTTCGTTGAAGACTTAAATTATTGACATCTGGCACAAGGTCAGTAGAATAGAGGAAAGTAAATTTATGTCTTAGATTTAAACTTAATTTTATAAAAATAGATTTAGGAAAATTTTAAAAATTAGTAATGTTAGTCGAATTAACTCTGTAATTTATCGCTGATACATTACAGAAACGATACGAAATCAAATAATTGTGGAAGATAAAACTAACTAGCAATACGTATGGCTAGGCTATTAAAAATAATATTAATTTGGACTTTTGCCAATTCTTTAGAACAAAAAGTTATGTGAATCTTTCTTTCAATAATTACAAATTCGTGTATTAAAAATTGATTACTGCTGGTTTGGCTGGTTTACATATTATATAAATTGAAAATGTTAGTTGTTTACTTATAATTTGAACATAATATTAAGTTCAAATTATAACTGCACAGATAATATTATCTGTATAATATTATTGGCTTTACAGTTTTTTTATAATCTAATGAAATAAATAATAAATGCTGAGTCAGATCTCCCTAAAATGTAATACATCTTTTTTTGTGTAAAAACAGCACATAACAGGACATGTTATGTGAAGGTGAAAAACAAGCCTAAAATCACACTTATTATTTGTCACACTTCTTTATCTTCAGTTTCCATTTACCAATTCAAATATATAGTCTTGACATATTTTTTTGTTCAACGCCTTACAAACGTCTGAGGTCCTTTTGAAATTTGTTTTGTTTGTTTCCTTTTCATGTGCCAACATTACTAATACCATTGCCCCGGACTTAGTTGCTGTTGTTGCTATGAACATTTTATTTTATTCTCTTTGGTGTGTTGTTTATTATTCCCTCCGACAACATTATTATCTCTGTTGTTACGGCTATTTTTTCTTTATTTTTGTAATTTCAGCTGATCCCCCACAATGAGAAAGAATGGTTGCTTCTTTAACATTTGCCGGTTGAAGGTATTTGACTTGCTTTTTTTGCAAATACGTTGGAAGTTTTTGCAGCATTTATGCCTTCGAGAAACATGCCAGCAAGCATTTATTTTCTCATAAAATCACAGTTGTTAGTTATGTTTTTGGTCCCCATTACAAGGAGGCACTATACCTGCCTGCTGATTGCAATGATGCGTGAGTGTGTAAGCAAATCTGTGTGTGTGTGTTTTAAGGGTGTCATGAGCTTGGCGTGTATGCCTCAGGTTATTTAGTTTATGTGTGATGATAATTGAAATAATAAGCAAGCAAATTATTATGTACTAAATGTATAATAAAGAATACTATATTTAATTCAAATTTACCTTTTTTCTAGACTCCACAGACATGACAATTGAATTTCTCCACAGGACTTTAATCCTAGACTGAACAAATAAATATTTCCATTATATGCTGAGGGGGATAACAGCGTGTTGGTGTAACATTTCATCATCGTTAGCAGCTATGTTGAACATTTCACGACTAAGAACAAAAAAAGAAAAATTATTAAATTTGTATTCTAATCTATGGTAAAGATTTATTTTATTAAAAATGTAAAAAAAACATAAATAAAATGTCAATATAATTACCTCTTAACTTCATAGTGTTCCATAATCCCATTATCTATGGTTAATACTAGGTTATATCCTTTGATGCTTAAAATTAATTTTTGTTTTCCTTATCCATAATATTTCTAATAAGAGTTGTAACATTTTTATAATTTATTCTAATAAGAAATTAAATTAGAACCCACTCTAATATTCTCGACTTAAATGAAAAATGACATACATATGTTAAATATATGAGAGACATATGTATATATATATATATTACACACTAATAACGACTTCTTAAGCAGGAGTAGGTTTCCATACAAAGCAAATGTTGTGATCGCCTTAGGCGAAGGAAACATTTACAATAAGGTACGCTTCTTTTTATGTTTTGTCCGTGTGCATATGTCACGTGTCTATTTGTAACAAAAAACACCCTCGTGTTGTGCTGCTTCAACTTCTGTGGGGATATTCACTTCTGTGTGTCATTGTTGTCTAGGGTTATGTGTGTAAATATTTTTCACAAAATAGGGGAAAATATGATGAGCGAGTGGGAGTGGGGTTGAAAATCCCTTTAGAATACTTTTACCAGCACAGTTCATTGCCACCAGTTACTTTCCTTCACAAAATAAAACAAACAAAAAATGTTAAGGTTTGTGTATATAAACGCCATACCGTGGACACTCAAGTAAATGTATACAGTACAATTGAATCCAAAAATCGACTTCTGATATATCCTTAGAATCCTTAGTTTAATGACATTAAATACATCAACACCCAATCTATTTAAAGACAATCTGAAACATAGATCATAAATGTTTGGCTTACCTCTTTCTTTCTCTAATTTGCAAATTTTGTCTATTCCAATATAATCTACAGCAAACTCCTTTTCGGTGACTGCTCCAACTCTATCCCATTCCATAAATAAACCGCAATAGCAAACAGTAATCATACCAAAAATCAATTGCACAAATAAATTTTTATTTGAAAAGTCATTTTATGCAGTCTATAAGTTTGGCGAACTGAAAAAATAAATGTAATTTTGTTTTGTGTTTTTTGTGTTTTTGTTTTCCTAAAATATTTATAGGAAGTCGACTACTGTAAATACATAATGGCTTGTTTTATGTTTCATTTTGTTTTGTTTTGTGTTTCATTCTTAATCTTATTCAACTTCGATTTCTTTATGTTTAAGATTCATTTGTAAAATTCATGCTGACTCGCAATAAACTGCCCTTCTTCTACTTTCTTATTTTTCCTTTCGTTCGTGTTTCCACTCGCACCCGCATACATTGAACATCAAACGCTTGGGATTTTGGAAAGTCACATCACCTACAAAAGAGAAAATTTAAATAAAAAACTGTCAGTAATCATTTCCTCGAACAATCATTTGTTAGTTTCCTTTACTTACATTCCATAATTTATTTAATATCAAGTCTGTATCCTCCAATGAGTGTCAGCAAGCTGATGTCTCATCACCATCCAGGGTAAATGCAACATTCTTCAATTTGTGGGCCAGATACATTTTCTTACAATTAATATCATTTTCTAAGGCATCCGTTATCTGTTCATTATATTTGGTAACGTATATGTACAGTTCCTTGAGCGCCGCTATGGTATCGAATTCATCGTTCTGTTGTATCGACAGATGATGCATGGCTGCACTCATTTCCATGTCGCTGATTTGTGGCAGGCGAGCCACATCGCTGTAAAACTGTTTGACCATTTTCCGATATTGTGGTATATCCTTAGCAAATAATAATTTGTTGGAGGGCGAATCTTTGCCCAAACGATGTTCCGTTGTGGAGCAGGCATCCATAAAGGCCTGGGCAATGCCACTGAGACTGGCGTCCACGGTCACGGTTTTATTTACATCGAAAATGAAATCGGGATTTTTGATAAAATTCACCCAGAACCGTAGCGGCAGACTGTTTGACTTCCAGGCATGCACAATGTCCGGATCGTAGATGTCGTGGCGGCGAGCGGCTTCATCGAGTAAATCGAAGAGCCATTTAACTGCTGGTGGCAATTCTTCGTTAACCGTTAGAATTGTGGCAAAGAAATCATCAACAAACTTTTGTACTGTGCCCTTAGCTGCCAATAGGCGGGTCAAATATACCTCGGGTATTGTCTTGTGTATGGGCTCCCCATTGGCCGCACCATTGCCGCCCGAAATGGCTGAATTTTTTATGTTCATATAATGATCGGGTAGCATTGGCTTAACCAAGTGATAGACGCGCGGCTGTTGCAGACCGGACTCTATGTCATTATTCATGATAATGTGAGATTGTGAATTGTTGATGAAGTAGAAATTGTTGTAGGGCGGTTGGTATTGCTTGCCGTAGCCCATGTTGTTGCAGTCATTTTGCCGAGCCACTAAACTCATCACTGCCGATTCTTTGACCCCATAGTGTGCCAGGGTGTTAAGTCGCTTCCAGCCATTTATGGTTTTCGTTGTCAAGTCCTCATCCTGCAGAATAAGGTGACCATCGCGACCATGGCGCCATTCCAAATCTACTTCATGCACTGAGGGTCTCATCGAAAATGGCGTATTCTTGAAGAGGGCATCCAGAATTTTGGACTTCACCTGTGTTATTGTATCCCAATCGAGTACTTTGCACTGGACCTTCTCATCCAAGTCATCCTGAATGATATTCAGCACCACCACATTGTGCGGTATTTGTTCGTGCAGCAACTTCTCCTTGGACAATGAATAACGCGCATCATGGGTAATGGCATCCACCAATCCCTTCTCGATTTGATGTTTTATGGCCTTGAAGAGCAGGAAAAGACTCGATCCGGCATATTCCTTCAAATAGTCATACATGCAAATAGCCATGAAGTTGGTTAGCATTTTCTCCACAACACTCTCAGTGCGACGCAACATCAGTTGCGGATATTTGTTGCACACCGACTTATCGACCAAACGCAGCAGAAGACATTTCAGAATTTCCGTGGCGTATTCCATTTTGTTCATCAGCACTATCATCAGTAGCGAGGCCACGTTCACCTTGTCGCGTATGTTAAATGACTTTTGGGCTTCCAGAGTTTCAATGAAGGTCAGTACGAAATACTTGTTGCTAATCAGTTGTTCGAATTGCAGCATGGCAGTGTCGTAGTTTGTATGGAAGTTATTCATTCGCATTTTCGGTGAATTGAGTATGGGGTGATCGGTGACACCGGGGAAGAAGACCTTCATAATGTAATTGACATGATCCAGAGTGGGTATACCGGTGGTCTCCAGATCGGCAGTGAGGTCGCTCATATCAGTTTGCAATTCGGCAAATGCCTGTTTGCACTCGGAGCGGACATTGCTCTCGAGTGTTATCATTTGTATTTGTATGCGTTTGTATTCTCGCTCAGCCTGAGTGGATTTACGACGGTATATAAAGAAGGCTGCTATCAGCAAAATAAGTACAATTAGAATGGTAAAGATGATCACCCACATGGCATGTGAAAAGGTGAAAGGCTTAAGTATGTCGTATTTTATGTGGCCGATGACAAAGCGAAGATTCCGACCGACTGTTACCACCACCAGAGGCAAATCATTCGATTGCGCCACATTGTTCTCATCGGTACCTGCAGGTTGTTTCTCTGGTGGGGTACACAACAGCTGGGTCATTGTCAGGCTGGTAATGTTGCATTGTGCAGTGCCAATGGTCACATTTACATCTGATTCATCAGCTGCTATATTCAGCAATTCTCCTTCGATCACCAACGTGTCGCCTTTATAGAGTTTCAAATTATCAGGGAATGGGTGGTATTTGGGATCTTGGAAGTACACAATGGTGCTACGTAAACTGGGGAAATATTTACTCAGGTCACGAACACACTGTACATTGTCCATGTTGAAGCCCAACTGCAGGTTCAGTTGTGTCTCCCTTATTTTCACAAAAGCTGCCACATCCTGTGCCTGATACAGGTTACTTTCGTGGTAACGACTGTTGGTGCTTATAGTGCTATAAATATCTGAAGTGTCGCTGCCAAACGGGTAGTTGTTTCGTTTCCTTATCAGATGGTAACCTGTCGATGTGGACGATGCAGCTGCTGGAGCCTGGTTGTAATCCTGATCTCTTTGTTGGTCCAGCATAACTTTGTAATCAAGAAATTGTTTCGATACAGTCGGAGAGGGACATTCCATTTGACTTGAGTTTATTACCACACAGGATGTTTTATTCAGCCGTTCATTTTCGTAATAAACCTCCAGTTCAGGTTTTTGTATTGAGTCTAAATACATGCCATGGACGGTGAGAAGACGTCCACCACTGGCAAAACTAACCAACGGCTTTATCTCCATGATGGTTGGATCTTGGGTATAATTAAATATGGAACAGGGTCTGGTCAACGAGGGTAATAAATAATTGTAGTTGTTGTGGAATGAATCGTATACTGAACTAAATGGTTGTCTTTGTGGTTGTTGTTGATGGTGAGGTGGATTTTGGCAAGTATAGGTTCGATTAGCCCCATCTACGATGAGACGTAACATGCGTATGGGTTCGGGCTGGGTAGCTTCAGAGGTAATACAAGTCAAACGCGACGAAGAGACCTGTGTTATGTTTATATGACATTCATACTCATCCAAGTAAGCCTTTATATTCGAGCCAATATTAAGATATTTTCCAATTAGCGAGATTTGCGTGCCTCCGGATTTAGGCCCTCTTGTCGGTGTCAAACCTGTCAACTGTATATCCTTAAATTGGAACTGCACACTAGATTCGGTGAATCCTGCTTCGTTGAACACCTTTACGGGGGCCGTTAATTCATGGCTAACCGCACCAGTCCGGCACTCAATCTTAACGGAGATTTCGTAGTTTACCAATTCACAGGGAACAGAGCCTATAGAGATTTTACCTCTAACATCTTCTTCGCGTATACCCAAATTACTGCCTTCTATCGTAATTAGAGTACCGCCTTCAATGGGTCCAAATAAAGGCTTGATCATATCGATCCTCGGTTTTGGACAATCCGTGAATTTGTGATAGCCCAAGCCATGGGGTGAGGTCAGTAAGGACGATAGGGTAGACGTGGCAGATGAACTTGAATCATGATCTAACGAGGATATGGGGCAGGTCTCATTGTAGGCGCAGGTATTGCCACACCAGGTACACTGATATTTCGGATCTCTGGTCACACACAGGCTGCAGTCGGCATGTTCCCGATGAGAACCCAATACATCACATTTGTAGAGCGTTATATACGCAGTATCTATATAGTGTTGTCTATTCCAGGTGATATCAACTCGAGCTTGATATTCGATTGTGTTAGCCTCATAGAAATACGGCGTCTTTTCGCACACCACTACGCGATTGGATTCAATTCGTGCCGGTAACATCATTTGGGCAGCCTCTATTTGTACTGTACACAGAAAGCCATAGGCTGCGTTTTTCGGCTTGGGCAAGTTTTCGATTTCAAAACGTATTTCCTTGGGCACTTTTACCGGCAACAGAATGGGCTCTCGGAGACGACGCATGTGAGGGCATTCATTCTCCCTGGTTATTACCTTCTCCAGATTGCGACATTTTTGCATTTTGTGCATACACTTGTTGTCATAAATACACCAATTGCAATCCCATGGACTGTGCACACATGTCTGGCAAGTGTTGTGACGCGAACAGTCAAAAAAGGTGAACGATCTGGACACGAAATCCTTATTTGTCTCTGAGCTCCGCACAGATAATGGCACCGATACGTGGTCCATATTTGGTGGTATCACCGGACGTTCTTCGGGTGGTGGCGTCATGCAAGCCAGACCATTTTCCAAGAGCTCAGCATCAATGGGAGTAGAATTTCCAAAAACACATCGGTATTTTCCACTGTAGTGTTCTGGTAGTGTGCGTATCACCAACTCCACCTGTATTACCTCTGTTATGGGTATTCTATCGGGTAAAATTGACTCAAAGTCAATACACTGTTGGCCACTACCCAAAGAGAGCCAACGTTCTGCGGAAGTATCCTTTTGGCATGTAGAACGAACCGTGCAATGCTTCTCCAAAGAACACCAACCACAAAATGGATCTCTGGACTCCAAACAAGATGTACAATTCGTATACTGTGAACAGTGTTCCATGCGCATTTTCGTCACCTTGTTTTTCGAGAGGACATAAATGAAATCCTTGTTGGGTGAAAATATGGTATCTTGTAAGATACTATTGCCAGGATCCACCATAATTTCGTCATATTCTCCTGGGTTATTTCCGGAAAGCAGGACCTTCTTTATTGAACCTTCTTCCGTTCCCAAAAAGGCTAGCGAGTGGGGACCTGTTGTGGTTGTCGACACAGACGTTACTGAGACATTGTCGAAATGAAATAAGGCATGAGCCGCTATAGGTGCCACTCCACTGATCTTCAAGCCAACATTACAAAAGCTGTAGACATTGCCTGAGGTTCGGGGGCAACGACCATCATCTATGGTACCCGATATATATCCCAAATTTCTGTCTTTAACGGTACCATTAAAGCAGAGATGGATATTCTCATTAAATGCTTCTTCTATTTCTTTCAAACTATAAATGCATAGTGCCGATCGGTCATCTGGCTGATTGGTAATGTCTTTCGAGGGTGAAAACGCAGCTACCAAGACGTGGTCTCCACGTTTTATACCCATTTGCTGGGCTAACTTTTGGCCAGCCTCCGTAATCTTGGCATCCCTCAGAATATTGTAATCCTCATTGTCCTGTGTGGCCAGACATTGGATGGTTATTTCTGTGTAACTGTCATAATTGGAGTCTGATATACAAATACGTGCCAAACGCGTCACATAGCCAGCCTCCTCCGCCAAATGTGAACGTTTCTGTACAATGGCAAAATAGGCATACTCCGATGAGTTAAACCCATAAATATAATTGACCAAAAAGTGATCCCGATACTTGACTTCAATGTTGATGATCGATTGTTTAATCTCGAATTCGGCGTAGTTCAAGTCGGCCAGTCGTCGCGACGAAATCGCTGGCACATCGTGCCGATAGTCACCGACATTGGTGAATGTGGTGCCCACATATAGAATGTCCTCCGTCTTCCAGGTGTATTTTGCCGGACCTATAAAGGCGTAGGTGGAGGCAAATTCATCATTAGCTGCCAGGGGAATATCGATGAATCGTGGATTGTTGGGGAAATGATTTAAATTGTAAATATCACAGGCTCCTTGTCTTACACTGCCGCAGGCAATCAATATATCGCCTTGGGCGTAACTGACAATAAGTATTTTGTTATGATTATTCACCAATGACGTCTCTACGTCTTCTGAACAACCACTGGCGTGGCACTGGGGAGAGTCACGCTGAGGGCCGGTAACGGCCTGCTTAAGAACCCTCAGATTTTCATTGAGTTGGAGAATTTTATTTGTGGCTCCGGCATAGAAAACATTCTGCTTGTAATCGTACGCCAAATGGGTGAAATAATTCTTCGAGGCGCCCTTCGTGGCCGGAGTTGAGGCCAGTGTGCCATTCTTAAAGTTGGTGGCAGCCGTTGGAGACTGGGTCATTGAATGAAAATTATTCGTTGTTGCTTGGGGCAATGTGAACTGCGCCACAATGTCCGCATGAGAATACTGTTGTGTTTGTTGAGTATTTGTTGTATTCGAGTTTGAGTTTGAGCTCTTCGACAAAGCTGATGTCGATGCAGATGATGAGGGGCCTACTGCACCCACCACCCCAATTGCATGCTGGAATGGCCTCAGGCACAGCAGGCAAACGGCATAGAGCAATAACCGGATGGAAAGCGATTTTCGTTTTCGCTTGCGATGATGTCTTTTGATGGCATTGTGTTCGTTCTTAGCTGCCGCCGCAGATGAAGATGAAGAATTCTGGCCGAAGTGAATATTTTTTGTGTGATTAATGTGTGACACATTGGGATGGACGGCCACCATCATGTTCTCTGTGTTGTTTTGTTCAATCCAAAGCTTACGATGATGTCGATGATGATGTTAGTCGATGGGGATGCAGACAAACTTCTTTTGGAGTAACATCACACATCATCTAAAAATAAAATATGTACACATAAATTGAACTGTGTGAGCACCACGAACGAGAACATTGAACAACTTTTACAGGATATTTTCTTTGCACAAAAACCGAATCGTTCTTCACCACTTGTTTTTATCGCTGTGCATTTTGTTTATGTTTGCGTGGGTGTGTGTTTTGCCGATAACAATTATTATTAAATTTGTTGTTTTTTTTATATATTAATTTAATATAAATTATAAAAACTGTTTCTCTTATTTGCACCACGACGAATTGTTTCTTGTTTCTTTCTCTCTCACTTTACTTTGTGTGTATAACTAGGGATAAGTAAATTGACTTTCGACTACTCGATTAATCGACTTTTTGTATTGAAAAGTCGATTAATCGTCGATTTTCGATAAAAAAAAGCGACGAAACGTTCAACTTGTTAACGAATGAGAGAGAAGACATAATGGCCGATAAAGAAGAACTCAATGTTGTATAAGGAAATATTTACGAATGATGTGGGATGGAGACTGAATTATAACCGCAACACACACGGACACTGTCCGTGGAAATGCCTCAGTGTTGATTCGAGTCAGTCGAGTAACCAATTGGAAGGTAACCACTATTTCAGAAACTACATTGTGTGATTTTATGGTATGACTCCGGCAATAATGAGTTGTCAAATTTAAAACATTTCCACAAAATAATAAAAACAAACAACATTAGTTTAATTAGGATGCATTCTTTTATGTTCTCGCTAATTTCACAGATGTCATAAGACAATTATTTTACACGTAACCACTTGTATATTTATATGTCTAGCGCGGCATAACTGATGGGTCTAACTTTGTATTCTTCTCACAATAGCAGGTTTGTTTACGTTTGCTTGTTATTTGTATATTTGTTTATAAACAAAATTATGCAAAATTCTATAACGCGTACCGGTAACATTATTATTTTTTTTTAATAAAATATGTGTGCTCAATTTACTTTATTTATGAATCATTAGCAACTTTTACAAACACATGTCTTCTTTCACACACAATTTTTGTCTCTTTTGTCTTCTGTTACCTGCTCTGCTAATGACACAAGTATCCAATTTCATCATTTAAACATAAAGAAATGGTTGTTCTTCGTTGATTCCACATAATGAAATAAGACACCAACTATTGTCGCGAGTTTTATTGGCGCAACACACAAACACTGAGTAACTATAATTATTTATTAAGATATACACAAACAACAACACACCACATCTTCATATCAATCAATTAACAAACATAATATTCGTAATATTCGGCAGAATGTACCAATCTTTACAACGAGGAGAAAAAGATACATTCGATGACACAGTTGTTATACAAATCCACACACACACCCATAAGCAAACAGGAGCAGCACATCGACGAAAAAACTTTTTTAGGATTCTCTATACATTTCACATTGAAAACTTACATAGTAATATTATAACACACGCGATTTACTTATATTAATGGTTATTTTTCGTTTTTGTATAAAAAGAATTATTTAAAAATTAATTATTTTCTTAAAAAAAATAGTTGTTCTCGGTAAGAATATAATCTAGAATTACAAGACGTCGTATGGCAAAACTGGGAAGAAGAAAAAAGGAGCCAGCATAAAAGAAAACGGTACAGAGCCGCATCTTTTGGAGTTGCAACATATTGAACGCCGTCAACAAAAACAAATGAACTCGCAATGAAATTTGATTAATATTTTCATTTTTACATATATTTTTATGTAATTATTAGAAAAAAAGTTCTTATTTCTATATTTTATTCTATTTATCTTATTAATATTAATATATGTCATCATTTACAAATTCTTATTTTTGATAAAGTAGTCATAATAAAGTGTTCTACAAACAACTAAACACTGCATTGCCGACATTTATAGTTGATTTCTAACTGCAGCACTTCGTTATCGACTAAAATGTTGAAGTGTATTGTGTACCGTTTACTAATAGTTTATAGCAATGTTTACATCCAATGTTTTAAATTCCCATTTTAGTTTGTATTGTCTAAATTTAAAATAGTTTTTTTTAATAAAGTAGGATCTAATCCCAGTTTTTGCCTAATATGCCTACATAAAATATTCGTTCAAAATAAGAAATCAATAGGATGGAGTGAGCAAAAATAGTGTCGTGGTTTAAAAGAAAGAATGTAGATTATATTTAAATTAATTATTGACCAGTATAATATGGTATACGAATTGGACCAGACAGAACAACTTAGTTCATGGAGCGGTTTCATATCCAGTACAACGACATATAATATCATTTCTTTTTTTATAATTTTACAAATTTTGCATTATATGGATCAGATTTTTTCCGAGTAGTTAATTGGGTACGATGTACATTGTACTTCTCTTCATTAATGGGCTCCATCGCCTGGAATTACATGTGAAATAAACTAAATGAAAATAATTAACAAAATGAAAAGAATGTTATTTATTTTTTTTCATTTAGTTTATTTCACACGTAATTCAAGGCGATGGAGCCAATTATTACAGAGAATTACAATATATATCGTAACCAAATAACTACTCAGAAATAAATCTGATCCATATAATGCTAAATTATAAAAAATGAAATGATATTGAGAGGTAGTTGAACTACTTTCATATCAGTTTTATGAAGACACATTTTGGTTTACGAATCATATTGCATGGTGGCTTGTGGGAGAGAACAATGCTAGAAATTGGTAAGGTAATTCTGTATAACACAATATAGACAGCCTGATATTCTGTAAAGGTCAATGAACTTAATTTTATGCCACATTTGCATCTTTGAGAATATTTTCAACAATGAATTACAAAAAAAAAAAACAAAAAATATTCAAATTTCCACCCACTTAAAATACTTGTCGGTCGCCGATTGCAGCCCATGTACCTTCTCATTAATTTTAATTAAGGACGTTTACCTGTTAAACACAGAAATGGCTAATACATTCTTATCTGTAAACCGCCATTTACAGACATCTACCAACAAACGAAAAAAAATCATGAAGCCGCATTAGAAGTGAAATTTTGGGCAAACAGCGTTGTTTGTCCTTCTTGCTTTTGTTGTACCAAGTAAAAGGATAGCGGCAGACAAACAGCAGGAGATGCTGTATAATGCGTAGTCAGAAGAAAATTGACCAAACAACAAAGTAAAATAACCCAGTTTTAGGAGGTTGTAGTGGTGAGTGGCGTATGAAAAAAACCCTTCATAGAATGCTAGCCAAGGATTAATACAAGATTTATTTTTCAAATCATGACCGTGATTTCTCTATGCGAGGACATTCAAGGGAAATATATTTGTGTATTAGGGTGTACCAATTATGCAGGGTACAGTTTCAATGAATGCTGAATTATATGGGCCTTTCTTGCAATATACGTCAAATAGTTGATAAAAAAAATTATCCTTGAAATTGCAGTCGAACTTCGACATGTGGGGACTTTGTATTAATTATAAGTTGCATTCGTAGTGCTACCGCCTCTACACGAATAGTCTAGTGAAAGTTAAGATATTAAATATTCCATTTTAAATATCTACATACATAATTTGGTGCATTCGAATATTGATATGTATTCCTACATATATTTCCCTCTGTAGCCATGAATTTAATTAAATGTTTATGGGTTTGGGTTTGAGCAGAGCACACACACATACAAACATACAACAAACCAGAAACAGCAAACAAATTGCCACAAGTTGATAACAAAAACGCTGCCATACACTTTGTGGTGTGGACGTCATCTCATGTTGTAACAACAAACCAAAAACACTGACACACTATACAACAACACAGCACACAAGAACAACAACAACGGCAATTACACCATGAACAGCAAAAGAACACAATGGCGGTTAAGCAAATTTACATCCACATCCGTTTTGCATATCATAGGCAGAACCAAAACAAAAAACCATCATCAACAAAAACTACACAAACACATAAAACAATAATGAACATATATAAACAAGAACGAGAACGACAACAACAACAACAGCAACGAGAAAACACATGGTCATAATGGTCTTTTGTTGGCTTTATTCTTTTTGTCTTCTTCTTCTGTCCACATGTATATGTGTGGTGATGATGATATGTGATAGAGCAGCATGAAATATCAAGCGATTAATTCGTTTGCACGTACTGTCCGTTTGCCTGTCTGTCTGTCTGACTTGCTGGTTGGCTGGCTAGCTGGATATGAGAATAAATGCGCGTTCATAAAGGAAACGAGGCATATTTTCAGGCTTTTGTTGTCGTTATTTGGTTAATTGTCTAGTGGTGTATGTGAGTGTGTGTGTGTGTGTGTGCAAGTCATGTCAGGTTTTTTTATTGTTAAAATAACGCATCATTTCATTTGAAAGACTCACAGACACATAGAGTAAATGCACAAAACGGACCAAAGAAAAAGGAGGGAACATTTCAGTTAGTCTTTTGACAATTTCTTAAAGATGTTTACCTTAAAGAGGGACTCCCACCCCAAACTTTGGCGGGAAATACAATCCTAAACAAATAAGAGACTGATTTTCTACTTCAGTTAAAATGACTTCTGCTCTTTTTTTTTAATTTCACATAGAAAGTAGAAATGAAACGACTGAAAAGTGGGAATAAAAAAGGGAAACTATAACTTATCAAGGGTCTTTAAGTATTTAAAGTCATTAAATGTTTCGTTTGCTTTCGCGAATTTTTTTGTAGCTTAAGGGAACCCCCCCATTCTCGATTTTTTATTTTTAAGATTTTAAATGGGCTGGTAAATGAATACCAATGCTTGTTAAGGTTTGTAACTTGGCACATATGTATTTGAAGATTTAAAAAGGAAGAAAAATAATTTACCAAAATTT